TGCAAACAATACTTTATTCAACCATAATTCACAATAAATTACTTAAACAATTTTTTTGTTTTCTTTTTTTTGCAGAAAACAAAACAAAAAAAAAACTCATTCCTGTTACATGCAAACCATGCACCTCTCTCTCTCTCTCTCTCTCTCTCTCTCTCTCTCTCTCTCTCTCTCTCTCTCTCTCTCTCTCTCTCTCTCTCTCTCTTTCTCTCTCTCTCTCTCGCATACTTCCTTTTTCGCCTAGTAGCGTGAACTGAAGTCGTCGCCCTCATTTCTGGCCGGTGAGCATTGTGAAGAGTTAGGACAAAGTGATCTTCTCGACCTAAGGGAAGATATAATCAATATTACTTAATTGACATAGCTCGGTAATCATCTTAAGCAAGAAATGGAGCAAAGGTTATATTATATAGTGCAGGGAAAGGGAGGGGGGTGATGGGAAGAAATTTTCCCACCTTTCCCGGTAAATTAGAGACCTTTATGCCCAAATAATTACGGGATACAGGAATGGGATACTACTTTTCTTTTTCTCTCTCTTTTCTGCAAAGTTCTCCCCTAACTCGGCAAAGCATAGCAACTTGTCCAAAGTGTCGGCAAATGACTTCACTGTGAGAGAAGGAGACGCTTGCCCGCCCCGCTTTGCCCGAGTTTCGCCCTTCCTATCCTCAGCAGATCATGTCTTCCCTTTTCCCCTTCTGACTCACCGTGCGGCCGTTGAGGTGCTGGACGGGACGGAAGTTGTCGACAATGTGGTGCTGTCCATCGTCTCCGAGGAGCTTGCGGAATTCCTCAAGCTGGGCGGGAGAGAAAGACACTTCATATTACGGTATTGGCTTCTCATATAATGTAATAATAATGGTAGTCAGGATAGTCGTTATAATCATCATATTCCATATAATCATCATTATAATGATAAAATCGGTAATAAACAACAAACAACAAATGATCATTAGATCATCTTATAATTCTTTCACATTTATTTCACTGACCTGATTCTCGGAAATGCTTATGGGTTCTTGGAAGACAGTCCAGGTGACGACCTCGTTACAGGTGGGAGTGGTCAAGGAGCCTGAGTACCTGTAGAAGGTGTTGGTGTTTGGCGGCAGGAGGTCTTGGAGAGGAAGCATTGTCGCCAGGTGTTCTTCGGTTCCTGGAGACCAAAAGTGGGTTGAACAGTAATGCAAACTGATTATAGAATCCAGAGATGAGTATTATGACTGCAAGAAAAGATGTGTGCTTCTGCATTACGTGATGTATTATCAGGTAATATCTGATACAGTGTTAAATTTCCTTCATTTTGAAGGCTAATATATCATTCGTATTTACACATGATATTAATGGCCAAAATTTGTTATACTTAAGAATAACAACTTTGATATATTAAAAAATTATGTATTAGCAAAGGCATTTCTCATAAGTCACCAACTATTATCTCAAAAAAGGGCCGGATACAGACCTGCATTCGTGATGGTTGCGAGCCCATCGATAATTGGTGAGAGTTTGGGATTGTCGACCAGACCGCCCAGGAGCATAACGCCCAACACAGCAAGACCGTCATTGTGCGCGACCGCTTCGGCGAGGGAACCATACTCAGTCTTGAAGTGCACCAGATGAAGCTCGGCAGCATATCTGGACAGGTAGGAACAATGTAGGTGAAGTATTGGTGGCGTATATCAGAACATTGAAGAGTTCGACTTCTGAAACTTTTCACTTCCTTCTTTAACTTACGCGATTCCATTGATGGTGTGCTCAGATCCCTGCGTGCTGACGCTGCCCCAGTGGAAGTGAAACTGGGCGAAAGTGTACTGCCCACCCAACTCTCCGCCGCTGACCGAGGGAAGCTCCGCAACGTCTGTGATGGTCCATGCAACCTTGGCTGGAAGAGGAAAGCAAAACGTGGCTTCATAAACTGCAACAATACCTCGCTTAATGGCCAAAACTATTGAAACTATCAAGTCTGTCTTAATATCTATCAAGATGGAAAGTAAATTCTGTGGCATCGCTATCACTTCCACTTGAAATTATTGACCCACATAAATATCATTGCAGTGAAAACAGTCGTAGCCGAAGTTGATGATTCTTTGATATTTGCCTCGCTCTTAGTCATGTTAATAAAAGATTAAATTTCTCGTGAATCATAAACAGAAGTACACACTTGGTACTAATCAATATCGTACAGAAAATAATGGTAATGATAATAATAAAACCTGAATGTCCATTGTTTTCTATCTTGAGATCAGTAGGGACGGTGTCGTATTTGTCCAGCACCCAGGCGTCGGAGGAACTCTTGGCAGTGGCCGCGAGTCCATTCAAGGCGACCGGGGACTGACTGCTGCCAGCACAGTAATTGGGAAACAGCGTTGCCCAGTTCTCAGGACCTATTAGCGAGACAAAGATAACTTTCGAAGAGGCGGAACAATGTTTTACATTCTGAGCTGAGATTCTAATTACAAAGTTATAGCAGAGGAAAGTGCGGATTCAAACCAGATGGTGTCTGCACCAAGTTACACATAACACAGGTAGTGTCACCTCCGGTTATTCTATTGAACCCAAAAGCTTTTCCCCAAGTGTATTCTGGCTACTGCGTGAAAAAAGAGAAAAATGGAACAAGAAAAAACAGCAAATATTTGCAGTGAATGGAGGTGACGAGGCGGTATTTAGTTCAGCACTTGACAACTAGGATTTTCATGACGACGGAATGGCACTACCTGTGTTAAAAGTACCTTGGCTGCACGAAATACAATAATGCTGTGGGTTGCTGTTTACCTCCTTCGCCCTCGTAACTCCATGAAGGTGCCGCAGGAGGGGCGGGGTCAATTGCTGAAAATGTAGACGTAAAATGTTGAAAAGTTTGAAGTTTCTGAAGAAATCTATCCTATAATGGCTAGACATTTTCATCTTGTGAACATTACTAATTCCTTACAAGCTGAGGAATAAGCTCAGTTGATGCTCAAAATGTTGATAAAGTTTATTGTACCACATGACTGAATTTTAAATGTGTCGAACCGAATATATATATATATATATATATATATATATATATATATATATATATATGTATATATATATATATATATATGTGTGTGTGTGTGTGTGTGTGTGTGATCATGTATCTTTATATGAAACTGTGACATATGAATATAGGAGTCGACACTTACCGCAATATGGAATCAACTTCCGAAAAATAAAAATGCGCTCGACACACATAATCTGAATCGACGATAAGCTACACCGAACGCGGAAATTAAACTAGAGGCACAGAGCATGGCGCTTAAGGTGATTCTCCGAAACGCGCTTTTCGCTTCGATGTAGACTATAGTTGTGACATTCGCTCGCAGAATATCGAAGAAAGCATTTCACACAGCCGGAAAGAGAGAAAGAAATAGGAACGGAAGCAAGACACACAGTTACTCTTACGCCAGCTGAAGCTTTCTGTCGATATTAAGATTGTTAATATTGTATTTGTAGCTACTACTAGTAACATACTATAATAGAAATCCTATATAAATCAAGACATTCCAGGATTAGATTAGCCAATTATACAACTAACGCAGTTTAGGAGTGTTGATTTTGTAAATTTAATTATTATTATTATCTTTATTAGTATGCTAAGAATCCTATGAAGGAAAACGAAAAAGCAGTTAGTTCGAAGGCCAATGTGAACTCGCACTTAGCTGTGATTCCTTATACCTTTTTTCCTCTGAAGAATTCATCCATTCCTCTTCAGGTCTCTGCACCTTTTCTGTTCCCACCACATCCATATTTCTTCTCTTCCAGCTCACCCACTGGCCACCTGTGGAGATGGGTGGAATGATTGCTTTCCATGGACAAATTCAACGCATTATCGGCCAATAACCTGATGTAGTACACAAGTGAATGTCAGCCGTTTTCTATGATGCAAAGCCCACAATACTCCTCTCTTCCTTAGTAAAATTGGCTTCTGTCGAAAACGGTTGTTCAAGTTTGATATTTTAAACGGCCTTCTTAAAGTGCTTATTAACATTGAAGAGCAGGTCTCATTATTGATATCAACTCCCATATTATGAACAGAGGATTTTTAATGTTATTATATTATTCTGATGGTGTATAACTTACATCTTCGAATGCAGATGTATGATTATATCTAATAGTCTGATATCTAAAACACACACACACACACACACACACACACACACACACACACACACACACACACACACACACACACACACACACATACGCAGACACACACACATATACACACACACACACACACATGGGGACATTTAAATAGAGAAACATCCGTGCTAAGCCACGGGATGTGGTAGAATGGCCAGGTCTTTTCCGCCCAACCTTGCGATCGGAAAGCCAATTTTCTACCACAGAGCAATGCCACCTAAGAATATATACATACATACATGCATGCATATAATCTATCTACCTATCTATCTATCTATATATGTATATATATACATATATATAATCTATATAACACATTATATATATATATATACATATTTATTTATGTACATATGTATGTTTTTTCACACACACACACACACACACACACACATATATATATATATAGTTATATGTATGTATATATGTAATATATATATATAATATAGATAGATAGATTGCACACACACACACACATACACGTATATATATATATATATACACTGATATAATTCGAGTTCTAAAAATAGGAGTTAAATGGATAAAGTGTTTCATATAATATGAATATAGTAAGAAGCGAAAGATAGATAGATTACATAATTACTCACACACACACATATATATAAACACATAGGTCCAGCTTAAAACATTGCCGGTCTTGTTCGTTACCGTGAAATCCGTGAGTTTTATTCAGGAAGCGCAGCTCTGCTCGGAGGACGATCCCGGGAAGCCGCCTTAGCCCTTGCCGCGCCTGCTCGGCCAGGGAACGACAAGGCATTGCAGTGATCGCTGCGGACGTCGAGCCGCAACTGCCGCTCACTGGGACTCACTGCTATCTTTTATCTTCTCGCCATGCCCCTGTTAGATTTGCAGGTGCGTCCCCAGTTAGGAAACGTATCGACCTTTTTATAGTAACCGGTCATATGTTCCATCATATACAATGAGTAGATATATACAAACCTATGATTTAGGTATGTGTGTGTGGGTGCAAACAGATCGAAATGTAGGACAGCATGGTTTTTAACATGAAAGCTCAGTATCTCGACTTTTGACTCCAGCTATCTCTCATGTTCTAGTCAAAGAGAAGAGAAATCAAGTTGTAGAAGCTAGGATTCCTTTGTTTGGAGACACTAGTGATTGAAAACACTGTAAAATCACTTGCACGAGTTCATCCATGCAGCACGAACGAACTGTTGATATTCAGTTGAACTATTGACATCATGACATCCGTTACTGGAAGATGTTTAAACGCCTCTCCAAGCACTAAATTAATAGAGGATAGCACGCTAGCAGAAGAGATTGTAATGCACACAATCATCATTACTTGCCGAGGTCTTTTGTTGTCTTTTATTCACAGTTTTCAAGTGGTTTAGACGTTGTGCGAGCCGAATCTCTTTGCTATTTACATTTATCCGTCCCGTTTTAACTTTTCTTTCTCTCCTTATCTATTTCACTATTCTTCCCTGTATCTTCCTTTTTTCCTACATCTTTATCTCATTTTTCCCAACTATTCATTCCTATTCTCCCCGCCTTCTGTCTGTCTGTCGCTCTCTCTCTCTCTCTCTCTCTCTCTCTCTCTCTCTCTCTCTCTCTCTCTCTCTCTCTCTCTCTATCGATATATCTCTATCTATCTCTCATTTTCCATCTCTCTCTCTCCCTCTTTCAATCTTTCGATCTTTCTCTCTTGCTGTCGAGACATTTACTATTTTTGTTGGAGGTCATATATGTCGGAGACAGGACAACAGATGGACAAAGAAAGTAATAGACTGGGTGATAGATAATATAAGAGGCCAAGGGCCGGACCAATGACAAGACAGTGTGACAAAATAATGAAATTTGGGGCTAAGACTGGAAACATGCAAGACAGACAAATTTGGAAACGATTGGAAGAGGCCTATGGCCTGCAGTGGAATGGTGATGATGATATAAACATATATATGTATATATATATGTATACACACACGTAATGACACACCAACACACAGAAACATATATGTGTGTTTATATATATGTATACATATACATATGTATACATATATATGTATGTTTGTATACATATAGGTACCCAAATATACACGCACACACATATATATTATACATACATATATCATATTATATATAGATACACATATATATGTATGAATATATAGACATACATATAGACATATATATATATATATATGTATATATATGTGTATATATATATATATATATATATATATATATATATATATATATATATATATACATATATATATACAAATATATATATATATAAATATACATATATATATATATATATATATATATATATATATATATATATATATAATGAATCTCAGGACCAGTGTAAATGGAAACATCATTACTTTTTTCTTCTTTTAATCTACCAAAACAAACGTTTCGAGTGTACAATACTTATCTTCAGTATGAAACACAATAACCATAAAGATAATTCGAATAATTATTTTTCAATTTAGTAATGATAGTTACAGACAAAATCATATAGTAAAGACATTCTTTTATGAAAAGGTTATTGAGAACAAAGTAAGGTTTATACAATATATCAATATAGGTTTAGTAGATCATGAATTGATATAGATACTTTATTATGAGATATATGAATTGACTAAATCACATTTAATTTTTAAATATGCATTATTAATGGAATGTAAAGTCAATTCACAGGAACATATAGGATACAAAAGAATGTTGACAAGAAAAAATATGACAAAAGGCAATGTTGACAATATATTCAACCTCTTGGTGGTAAATGAAGGAATTTCTTGATAATCTGAATGCTCTGTGTATTAAGATTGACATTAAGTTACTTTCCTGTTTAGTTGGGATATAGGAATTGTATTTTGTAGTGAGCCCGGTGTTGGTGGCCTTTCTGTACTTGATAAAAAAAAATATCTCGAGAAATATTTATATCTAAAAAGGGTACTGCTTCAGGTGTAAATTTTCATATTAGGGTGTTTTGTATTCAAACAGTCTAGGAACTTCTTAATATGATAATTTAATTTGAACTGCAATAAGGTATCATCTGCATAACGAAAGTAATGACAAGGTTTAAAGGAAGTAGGTTATTCATGTAAGGAGCTTTTTTTCAAAATGGCACATAAAAATATTAGCAAGAATAGGACCTAAGGGACTACCCATAGCTATCCCTTCAGTCTCTTTATATATATATATATATATATATATATATATATATATATATATATATATATATATATATATATATTATAGAACAAGATGTCTTTAGTTGCTGTATCGAAAAGTTTCTTAAATATGACTTTATTTAGACCCTGAATTTTCTTGTTTGTTGTCAGAAAGAGAATTCTTGATAATTAATAATCTCATCAAGTGGAACGTTACTAAATAAGTTGGAGACATCAAAACTGGCAAGTACATGATCATTGGCATTGTATCAAGTCACCTAAAAAAATGGATTGTTTTGTATTGTATATTCATTATTTGGGAGAAACTCAAATGGGGAATGAAATGTTTCGATGAATTCTAATTTATGTTTCCTCTGGCCGATAGAATGTCTCATAGGAACATTTGCTATGTTAAGTAATCCTTACAGGATACCTGGCTTAGAGCCAGAAGTAATGAGGGAGGAGAAAGGGGATTTATCTATAATTTCATCTTTCCTTAGTTTTCCGAGCAAGGAATTTAGTTTGTCTTCATTGTATATATATATATATATATATATATATATATATATATATATATATATATATATATATATATATATATATATATATATACATATATATTCATATATATGTATATATGTGTGTGTGTTTGCATACACATGCATATGTATGCAATCACACATACTTATACACACACACACACACACACACAGATATATATGCATATATATATATATAGATAGATAGATAGATATAAATAGATAGATACATATACATATGTTTATATATATTATACATATATATGTGTATATATTCGTGTGTTTGTTTGTTTGTTTGTTTGAATACACATTTATATATATTATATACAAATATAAATATATATACATATGCATATCTGTTTATATATATTACATATATGTATATATATTATGTATATGCATATTTATATGTATATGTATATATATATGTGTGTGAGTGTGTGTGCCTGTGCCTGTGTATGTGTATGTATCTATGTATACTATTTATAAATACACACAAAAACACATATATACATACATACACATATAGTTATATATATACGTATATATAAACACACACTCACACATACATACACAAACACACACACACACACATACATATATATATATATATATATATATATATATATATATATATATATATATATGTGTGTGTGTGTGTGTGTGTGTGTGTGTGTGTGTGTGTATGTATATATATATATATATATATATATATATATATATATATATATATATATATATGTATGTATGTATGTATATACATGCATATATATGTGTATATATGTTCACACACACAAACAGAAACGCACATCCACATGTACACACACACACGCACCACACAAACACACACACACCACACAAACACATACACACACACACACACACACACACACACACACACACACACACACACACACACACACACACACACACACACAGAAGGCAAAGCTAACAGGGACATGGCGAGAAGATAAAAGATAGCAGTGAGTCCCAGTGAGCGGCAGTTGCGGCTCGACGTCCGCAGCGATCACTGCAATGCCTTGTCGTTCCCTGGCCGAGCAGGCGCAGCAAGGGCTAAGGCGGCTTCCCGGGATCGTCCTCCGAGCAGAGCTGCGCTTCCTGAATAAAACTCACGGATTTCACGGTAACGAGCAAGACCGGCAATGTTTTAAGGTGGAATCATCATATCTTTCGCTTCTTACTATATTCATATGAAACACTTTATCCATTTAACTCCTATGTTTAGAACTCGAATTATATCAGTTTATATATATATATATATATATATATATATATATATATATATATATATATATATATATATGTACGTGTATGTGTGTGTGTGTGCAATCTATCTATATATTATATATATATTACAAATATACATACATATAACTATATATATATATGTGAGTGTGTGTATGTGTGTGTGAAAAAAAACATACATATGTACATAAGTAAATATGTATATATATATAATGTGTGTTATATAGATTATATATATGTATATATATATATACATATATAGAGAGAGAGAGAGATAGGTAGATAGACTATATGCATGCATGTATGTATATATTCTTAGGTGGCATTGCTCTGTGGTAGAAAATTGGCAAGGTTGGGCGGAAAAGACCTGGCCATTCTACGACATCCCGTGGCTTAGCACGGATGTTTCTCTATTTAAATGTCCCCATGTGTGTGTGTGTGTGTGTGTGTATGTGTGTGTGTGTGTTTTAGATATCAGACTATTAGATATAATCATACATCTGTATTCGAAGATGTAAGTTATACACCATCAGAATAATATAATAACATTAAAAATCCTCTGTTCATAATATGGCAGTTGATATCAATAATGAGACCTGTTCTTCAATGTTAATAAGCACTTTAAGAAGGCTGTTTAAAATATCAAACTTGAACAATCATTTTCGACAGAAGCCAATTTTGCTAAGGAAGAGAGGAGTATTGTGGGCTTTGCATCATAGAAAACGGCTGACATTCACTTGTGTACTACATCAGGTTATTGACCGAAAATGCGTTGAATTTGTCCATGGAAAGCAATCATTCCACCCATCTCCACAGGTGGCCAGTGGGTGAGCTGGAAGAGAAGAAATATGAATGTGGTGGGAACAGAAAAGGTGCAGAGACCTGAAGAGGAATGTATGAATTCTTCAGAGGAAAAAAGGTATAAGGAATCACATTGGCCTTCGAACTAACTGCTTTTTTGTTTTCCGTCATAGGATTCTTAGCATAATGATAATGATATTATTAATAATAATTAAAGTTACAAAATCAACACTCCTAAACTGTGTTAGTTGTATAAATATCTTGATTTATATAGGATTTTTTTCTCTTATTTCTATTATAGTATGTTACTAGTAGTAGTTACAAATACAATATTAACAATCTTAATATCGACAGAAAGCTTCAGCTGGCGTAAGAGTAACTGTGTGTCTTGCTTCCGTTCCTATTTCTTTCTCTCTTTCCGGCTGTGTGAAATGCTTTCTTCGATATTCTGCGAGCGAATGTCTTAACTATAAGTCTACATCGAAGCGAAAAGCGCGTTTCGGAAAATCACCTTAAGCGCCATGCTCTGTGCCTCTAGTTTAATTTCCGCGTTCGGTGTAGCTTATCGTCGTTTCAGATTATGTGTCTCGAGCGCATTTTTATTTTTCGGAAGTTGTTTCCATATTGCGGTAAGTGTCGACTCCTATATTCATATGCCACAGTTTCATATAAAGATACATGATCACACACACACACACACACACACACACACACACACACACACACACACACACACACACACACACACATATATATATGTATATATATATTTTCGGTTCGACACATTTAAAATTCAGTCATGTGGTACAATAAACTTTATCAACATTTTGAGCATCAACTGAGCTTATTCCTCAGCTTGTAAGACATTAGTAATGTTCACAAGATGAAAATGTCTAACCATTATAGGATAGATTTCTTCAGAAACTTCAAACTTTTCAACATTTTACGTCTACATTTTCAGCAATTGACCCCGCCCCTCCTGCGGCACCTTCATGGAGTTACGAGGGCGAAGGAGGTAAACAGCAACCCACAGCATTATTGTATTTCGTACAGCCAAGGTACTTTTAACACAGGTAGTGCCATTCCGTCGTCATGAAAACCCTAGTTGTCAAGTGCTGAACTAAATACCGCCTCGTTACCTTCATTCACTGCAAATATTTGCTGTTTTTTCTTGTTCCATTTTTCTCTTTTTTTCACGCAGTAGTCAGAATACACTTGGGGAAAAGCTTTTGGGTTCAATAGAATAACCAGAGGTGGCACTACCTGTGTTATGTGTAACTTGGTGCAGACACCATCTGGTTTGAATCCGCACTTTCCTCTGCTATAACTTTGTAATTAGAATCTCAGCTCAGAATGTAAAACATTGTTCCGCCTCTTCGAAAGTTATCTTTGTCTCGCTAATAGGTCCTGAGAACTGGGCGACGCTGTTTCCCAATTACTGTGCTGGCAGCAGTCAGTCCCCGGTCGCCTTGAATGGACTCGCGGCCACTGCCAAGAGTTCCTCCGACGCCTGGGTGCTGGACAAATACGACACCGTCCCTACTGATCTCAAGATAGAAAACAATGGACATTCAGGTTTTATTATTATCATTACCATTATTTTCTATACGATATTGATTAGTACCAAGTGTGTACTTCTGTTTATGATTCACGAGAAATTTAATCTTTTATTAACATGACTAAGAGCGAGGCAAATATCAAAGAATCATCAACTTCGGCTACGACTGTTTTCACTGCAATGATATTTATGTGGGTCAATAATTTCAAGTGGAAGTGATAGTGATGCCACAGATGCCACTTAATATCTTGATAGATATTAAGACAGACTTGATAGTTTCAATAGTTTTGGCCATTAAGCGAGGTATTGTTGCAGTTCATGAAGCCACGTTTTGCTTTCCTCTTCCAGCCAAGGTTGCATGGACCATCACAGACGTTGCGGAGCTTCCCTCGGTCAGCGGCGGAGAGTTGGGTGGGCAGTACACTTTCGCCCAGTTTCACTTCCACTGGGGCAGCGTCAGCACGCAGGGATCTGAGCACACCATCAATGGAATCGCGTAAGTTAAAGAAGGAAGTGAAAAGTTTCAGAAGTCGAACTCTTCAATGTTCTGATATACGCCACCAATACTTCACCTACATTGTTCCTACCTGTCCAGATATGCTGCCGAGCTTCATCTGGTGCACTTCAAGACTGAGTATGGTTCCCTCACCGAAGCGGTCGCGCACAATGACGGTCTTGCTGTGTTGGGCGTTATGCTCCTGGGCGGTCTGGTCGACAATCCCAAACTCTCACCAATCATCGATGGGCTCGCAACCATCACGAATGCAGGTCTGTATCCGGCCCTTTTTTGAGGTAATAGTTGGTGACTTATGAGAAATGCCTTTGCTAATATATAATTTTTTAATATATTAAAGTTGTTATTCTTAAGTATAACAAATTTTGGCCATTAATATCATGTGTAAATATAAATGATATATTAGCCTTCAAAATGAAGGAAATTTAACACTGTATCAGATATTACCTGATTATACATCATGTAATGCAGAAGCACACATCTTTTCTTGCAGTCATAATACTCATCTCTGGATTCTATAATCAGTTTGCATTACTGTTCAACCCACTTTTGGTCTCCAGGAACCGAAGAACACCTGGCGACAATGCTTCCTCTCCAAGACCTCCTGCCGCCGGACACCAACACCTTCTACAGGTACTCAGGCTCCTTGACCACTCCCACCTGTAACGAGGTCGTCACCTGGACTGTCTTCCAAGAACCCATAAGCATTTCCGAGAATCAGGTCAGTGAAATAAGTGTGAAGGAATTATAAGATTAAATACAACTACAAATACTAACTTTAATGAAGAGGATTAAAGGTTTGACTAACCCGATGATCATTAAAGATTGTTACCGATTATATCATTATAATGATAATTATATGGAATGTGATGATTATAACGACTATCCTGACTACCATTATTATTACATTATATGAAAAGCCAATACCGTAATATGAAGTGTCTTTCTCTCCCGCCCAGCTCGAGGAATTCCGCAAGCTCCTCGGAGACGATGGACAGCACCACATTGTCGACAACTTCCGTCCCGTCCAGCACCTCAACGGCCGCACGGTGAGTCAGAAGGGGAAAAGGGAAGACATGATCTGCTGAGGTTAGGGCAAAGCGGGGCGGGCAAGCGTCTCCTTCTCTCACAGTGAAGTCATTTGCCGACACTTTGGACAAGTTGCTATGCTTTGCCGAGTTAGGGGAGAACTTTGCAGAAAAGAGAGAGAGAAAAAAAAGTAGTATCCCATTCCTGTATCCCGTAATTATTTGGGCATAAAGGTCTCTAATTTAGCGGAAAAGGTGGGCAAATTTCTTCCCATCACCCCCCCCCCTTTCCCTGCACCATATAATATAACCTTTGCTCCATTTCTTGCTTAAGATGATTACCGAGCTATGTCAATTAAGTAATATTGATTATATCTTCCCTTAGGTCGAGAAGATCACTTTGTCCTAACTCTTCACGATGCTCACCGGCCAGAAATGAGGGCGACGACTTCAGTTCACGCTACTAGGCGAAAAAGGAAGTATGCGAGAGAGAGAGAGAGGAAGAGAGAGAGAGAGAGAGAGGTGCATGGTTTGCATGTAACAGGAATGAGTTTTTTTTTGTTTTGTTTTGTTTTGTTTTTTTGTTCTCTCCTTTTGTTGTATTCTTTGTTTTCTGAAAAAAAGGGAAAAACATAAGTAATTTATTGTGAATTATGGTTGAATAAAGTATTGTTCGCATTTTCTTGTTTTATTTATTTATTTTTTTGAACTGAAACACATACACACATAAACATACATTTTATATATATATATATATATATATATATATATATATATATATATATACATATATATATATATATATATATATATATATATATATATATATATAATTATAGTACTCTTTCTGATAACTCTGACATAATGAAAGACAATCTTCCTAATGAATAAAAAAATATTTCAAGGTAAAAAGGAAAAAGATTTTAAAACAAAAGCAACCACAATGTTTCAATTTGTTATTCGCATAAAAAGAAACAAAATAAATGTTATATTACCAAACTCATGAATTTAATCTTGTTTCTTGGAATGACCAATTGAATTATGCTGCACGGTCATGTTAAAGTTGAATCTTTCCTAGCTGGTTAGATATCTTAATATATGTCACACACACACACATAAGCGCGCGCACACACACACACACAAACACACACACACATATATATGTGTGCGTGTGTGTGTGTGTGTGCATACGCCGAAACATGCATTCATACATACATATATATATATATATATATATATATATATATATATATATATATATATATATATATATACATACTTACATATACATATATGTGTGTGTGTATATGTGTGTGTATGTATGTATGTATACGTATATATTTTTAAATATATATGCACACACACACAAAATCGACTAGCATATGTTCCCTCTCATAATTCCCCACTACGGTTTCTCCTGTCTTTTTACCTATTTTGGCATCAAAATCTCCCATAATGATTGTGAAATGTTTTTTTTATTCTTTCGCTGGCTAAAAAGAAGCTCTCTATTTCTTCATAACTGCGGCTGTAGGTTGGATCATAGAACAAGGAACAATCTTTAAGTAGTACCTATTGTTTAGTTTTATTGTTACAGAAGCCACTCTTCAGTAATAACACTATAGAATTCCACGATATTCTTTTCTAAACGTTTGTGAACTAAGAAACCTACTCCTAATTCCTGCTTGCTATCCTAGGGTTTACCTCTCCAATAGAGCAGTGTCCATCATTTATTATCTTCTGTTCGCCTAGTCTTCTAACTTCACAGTGTCATACAACATCCCAATTAATGAAAGAATTCCTCAAGTAATGCTAGTAAGCTGGATTCAATTCTCATTGTCCTTATATAAACGCCTATCTTTAGCTAGAGATTTTTAGTACCCTCTGCCCCGGTGCGATCCTGATCGCCGCCGTAATCAGAGGCTTCTTCGCCTCCGGGGAATAAGGGCCGTTGCTCTGTGCAGTCATGGTTTTTGATTGA